TAGTACCAAACTGGATTCGACATAGTGGCGCCCAACTCCTTTCCAAGTAATATGCGATGAGTTGCATATTTTAGCATGATACCAACAGTAAGGTGTAAACTACTTACAGAAGCGGAGTCGTGCGTTTCCTAAGAACATTAATGCGAATTGAAAACAGACTACTTCAGCTGGAATTTGAACACTCGTTCACCGGTTCCGTTTTCTGCGCCTGTAACCGTTGTGCCATCTTCATCTCTCTCCAAACATTATCCTATTTTAAGTAGACATATAATAATTTTAATGTAAGAACTGCTATCGCTTCCCTACTGAAACCGGCGTTTTACTTGGGAAAGCCAACATTTTATGTGCTGTGTCCTTTCAGGACGTAGGCGATCATGGTCCTCCACATTTTCCTATCCCTTGTAGCGCTTAATAAGTTTCGTCTTTTTGTCATTTCTCCCAAACCCTATTTGGTTCTACTGTCCATTGACTCAAGCTCATCAAGTATATTACGTGCTCCTTTCCTCTCGCCATCTTTCCCTTAAATTGCCCTGTGAGTATCAGATCCTAAAAATTCGAAAAAACCGTTAAATGAAAACCTTCTATTATTTAAAATACAAAAAAAATTCATCAAATTAAAATAAAATAAGAAAGAACAATTACATCAATATAAAAATAAATAGATAAATAAGAAAATTAAAAATTCAACAACAACAACGGTAACATTCACTCACTTTCGTTTTTTAGGTATTAAATTACATCACATGCATCCCCATAGTTTATCATGACTTTCACAGTAGCCTTAAGAATATTTTAGTGTTAAAATTTTAAAATTTTTATATTCCTAACGATATCTTTAATTCTGCTTATCAATACATATTGCAAAATAATTTAGCTTACATTTGATAAAGTCTATCAGAGAACTAAACTTTTGTCTTTATTCATATTCTCTTTTTACCGATATAATTTATTTATATCTGAATTTATACTCACACGCGCGCGCACCCACACACATACATATATATATATAGATATAGATATATAGATAATATAAGTGGTTAATACACACACACACATATATATATATATAAAATATATAAATACATACATATACATACATACACATATATAAAACTTCCAAGAGGAAGGAATCCAGGTAGAACTCAATGTCCAGGACAGAGTAAGAATATAATAAAAAGGCTTAAACACTAATATTCCATAAACAGTATTACTCGCTTGAAAAACCTCGGATGACTCAACTTGTAGACATCTGAGGGCAAATTGGTACTCTAAGAGAATTTAAGTTGATTGAAATGATATTTTAATAGCTAAAATTTACCATATTGACAAATCTATCAACTCACTATAATTCTCTTTATCAAAAAAATATTCAAGAATAAAATATACTTTTCTGAAACTTTATTTGAGAAAGATTTTCTAGTTTAAAGTTTAGTTCATTTGAATTAAAACAAAAAATATTACTTTCCTTTAGTTTAAAATAACGCAAAAAAGCATTGAATGTTTTTATGTGATGTCGATAGTTTTATCGATAGCTTAATGCTTGGCATTTTTAAGTAAAGGACCCATAACTGTAAAAATTATTCGGCAAATACAACGAAAACGCTTTTATTATATAATTTTATAACTAACTAGTAATGTTAAATGTTAGGAAAGTATTCTAAGTAATCTAATATTTTACTGAATTTTAGGTACTTTATAGATTTATCATGAAGACGCTTGTTGAGGAAATGTTAGAAATTTACCAATAAATTTTAAATTTACTATAGTTACCGCTCTTATTTTCAGATAATGTCGTGTACGGACAACCGTATTTACAAAAATCAGCACGTTTCTACACACACACACACACACACACACACACACACACACACACACACACACACACAAAAAAAAAAAAAAAAAAATCAAAATTCTTTTTTAAAATACCGGGAAGTGGTTGTTGCTTAATTGCTTAAAGTTTTTCTATTCATGATAAATATAGATTTTTTTTTTGTTCTTTAGTCAATATAGTTTTTAATTAATAATATCTCCTAACCGCTACAAATTTTAAATTTTAAAAATTTAAAAATTTATAAATTATTATGATAAAAATTTTTAAAAAGTGAAAATTATTCCTGTAAAAAATCATTATTCATCGAAAAAATAAATTATACAGCCGAGAGTTTACATATTTTTTAACGAGTTTATCACCGTGCATAGCATC